GTGTGACTCATGCTCCCCTCCCCAGCTCTAGCTCAGGAGTCAAGTCAGGGTCACCTCCCCATCAGTGGGCATCCACCCACCCTTCTGGGAGATGGTAGTGGCTTCCTCTCTCATGTACAAGGTGACCTAGTTTTGCTCCCTTCTGCCCTGCCTACCTTGTTCTTCCCAGAAATTCTCCCCACAAACCATAACCAATCAATCAACAAAAGCTAGCCTTGGTATTTTTAGCAGCTGCAGAACTGAATCATCAGGATGGCCCTCGGGGCCCATCTCACCCCGTGGTGCCCCGGAAGGCTGGAACCTGGAGCATGCTCTGTCTGCCAGGAGCAGGGTCTGAAACCTGTTACACTCCTCCCCAGGCCTGGGTGGGAGCCTGGCAGCTGTCACCCGGGATGGGCAAATGAGCACACACTGGCCTAAGCCTCCGATACTTGGACTTCTGGAGGCCCTTTTTGGTTTTGTTTCTTTAATAATAGACTTAATTTTTTAATATGTTTTATTAATTGATTTTAGAGAGAGAGGAAGGAGAGGGATAGAGAGATAGAAACATCGGTGAGAGAGAAACAGCATCAATTGGCTGCCTCCTGCACTCCCCCTACTGGGGATCGAGCCCGGAACCTAGATATGTGCCCTGACCAGGAATCGAACCAGTGACCTCGTGGTTCATGGGTCGATGCTCAACCACTGACCCACACAGGTCAGGCTAGACTTAATTTTTTATGTACAGTTTTAGAGTTACAGAATAACTGAGCAGGTCCGACGAGAGTTCCATATACCTACCCCACCCAGACACAGTTTCCCTGTTATTAACATCTTGCATTAGTGTGGTACAATTAGTGCCCCCAGCATGGATACATTATTATGACTACAGTCCATAGTGTACGTTAAGGCTTAGTCCTTGTGCTGGGCTGTTCGATGGGTTTTGGCAAATGCCCAGGGGCTTTCTAACCCCGAGGGTGTCTGGGATAAGGCCATTGCTCTTAGCCCTTAGGCAACCTCTCTGCTTAGTCAAAGGAACCTGATTTGCCTCAGTTTCCTTTTCCAGTGTTTTTGCACCAAGGCTCCAGGCCCCTGGCTCTGACTGGAAACGGGGGAGTGGAAACGGATTAAGGACAGGAAGTCAGATTCTTGTTTGGATCTCCCCAGGGTGAAGCGGCCCCTAAGTTCAATGGCCAGGGCTCCAGTTTCTAACACATTGTAAGCAGCCTACCTCCCAGCTGGGTGTGCCAGGCCCTGGGTGCCAGGGAGGCCTGGCCTGGCGCATTGGAGCCCATGGCGCCTCTCCCTGCAGTTCCGGAGAGGACCGCACTGCCACGCTGCCTATCGGAGGCCTTAGCTATGTCCAGGGTTACACCAAATTCCGTCTGATCAACAAGACCGTGGGACGTTGCCTGGACGTCACAGCAGAGAAGTTCCCGGACCGAGAAGCATTGATCGTCGTCCATGAAAACATCAGATTGACCTTTGCTCAGCTCAAGGAAGAGGTGGGTCCTGACCTTGAACCCTGAAAGTAGGCAGGTGCTACCCCCAGGCTGAGTGGAACCACAAGAGCGGCACCTGACGGGGGTGGAGGTGGGGGGTGGGGAGTGGGGGGCGGGATCAGGGTGTTGGGGCTGCTGAGAACCCCAAGGGACATCAGGAGATGGGGACAGGACTGAGGCAGAGGTGGCCTGGATGCCTCTTGCATCAGTCGCGCGAGGGCAGTTGCTAATTCTGTGTATTCCATGCCTCACTCCAGATCCACTGAGGCCTGTCCCTTGTCCCTAGGGGACTTTGCTCTGAGCCGCTGGGCCGAGGGCTGAGGTGGGAGTCGTGGCCCCGTCCTGCTTGCCCACACCTTACCCCTGTGCCCTGTCTGTTTACACCAGGTGGACAAAGCTGCCTCTGGGCTCCTGAGTATCGGCCTTCGCAAGGGTGACCGGCTGGGCATGTGGGGACCCAACTCCTATGCATGGGTGCTCTTGCAGCTGGCCACCGCCCAGGCGGGCATCATTCTGGTAAGGAGGGGTGGACCTGACCCAGCTGGGTATGCAGGGGAACATCATTTGTGGGAAGCCTGCTGGCCCCTTGGCCTCAGAACCAAACCAGCGCCTGTCTGGCTCTTTGGGTAGCCTTCTCCTGAAGCCACCAAGGAGAGCCAGGGGGGTAGGGTGCCACCTCTGTCTACGCCGTGTTTCTGTGCCTGCTGAGGCTGGAGGGGCAAGGAGAGGGACAGGGTCTTCCCAGGACACTGACATCCCCTGCTGTCTCCACCAGGTATCTGTGAACCCCGCCTACCAGGCTATGGAACTGGAGTACGCCCTCAAGAAGGTGGGCTCTGCTCCTGGGGGTGGGGCTGGGTGGGCGCCTGGAACAGGGGGCTTCCGGTTGACGGGGCAGAGAAGGCATGTCTGTCCTTCCTTAGGCTGTGAGTGGGTGGGAGGAGGAGGTCGTTGGGCAGATGCAAAGCTGGTGTGTGTGTTGTGGTGGTGGTACATGCATGTGTCCTGGCAGTAGTGTGTGAGTGAGTTGGTGTGTGTCGTGTTAGAGGTGGTGCATGTGTGTAAGGGTCGTGGTGCGTGTGTATGAGAGAGAGCAGCGTGGGGCTTCCGGCTGACTGGGGAGGGGTCTCCCTCCCACAGGTGGGCTGCAAAGCCCTGGCGTTCCCCAAGCAATTCAAGACCCAGCAGTACTACAACATCCTGAAGCACATCTGTCCGGAACTGGAGAAGGCCCCCCCGGGGTTCTTGAGGAGTCAGAGGTGGGATGTTCCGGGTTAGGATGAGTGTGTCATGTGGCATCCCAGCCCCTTCCTTCCCTCCCCACCCCCAGGGAGGAGGCTGGTGTCTCTGTGGGCCCGTCCTCAGCCCCTGACTCTCTCCATCCTCCCTACCCCCAGGCTCCCAGACCTGACCACGGTCATCTCAGTGGACACCCCTATGCCAGGGACCCTGCTCCTGGACGATGTGGTAGCAGCGGGAAGCAAAGAGCAGAATATGGCCGAGCTCCGGCACGCCAAGCTGTTCCTGTCCTGCCACGACCCCGTCAACATCCAGTTCACCTCGGTAAGGCAGAGGTCGTCAGCACGGAGCCCAGGCTGGCATGCTCACCCCTGCCTGCCCCCGTGACCCTTCCCCGAGAAGGAGGGCACACGAAGGACGCCAGGAGTGTGGTCACTCTTCTCCTGGGGCTCGCCCCAGCTGTCCTCGCTGCCCTGGAAAACATCAGCACTGGAGCCCTTGTCACATGCCCCCCTCCCCTGGCCCGCTTGTCCCCGGCCCAGGGGCGGGTGCACAGGGAGAGCCGGCCCCCTCATTTAGCAGATGGGGAAACAGGCCCAGAAGCCGAGTTTCTGCTGGGCCACAGAGTTCTCTAAGCCACTTGGGTGGCATGGCGACGGAAATCTTATCTTCCCTGTTTCTGGATCCTAACACCTGGCACCATGCAGGTGTGTGGTAAACCTTTGTGAAGGTTTTTGAGTAAATGAATGGATCTGGGGCCGCAGTCCCAGTCTCCTGACCCCCAGTCCAGAGCTTGTCCATGCAGCGGCCCAGGGCATGAAGGAGATGGGGAGAAAGAGGCCAATGTCACCTGTTTGTCTTATCAGGGAACGACAGGAAGCCCCAAGGGGGCCACCCTTTCCCACTACAACATTGTCAACAATGCCAACATCATAGGGGAGCGCATGAAACTGCACCTGAAGGTGAGGGGGTGCTGGCTAAGGCTTGCGGGCACCCTGCATGGGTGGGGGTCTTGCTGGGCTCCCCCTGCTGGCTAGAGGAACTAGCTTCTGGGGCTTTGGGCTCCAGGATAGACCTAGCCTCCTGCCTCCATCTCCAGACACCAGAGGAGTCAAGGGTGATCCTGCCCACCCCCCTGTACCACTGCCTGGGTTCTGTGGGGGGCACAATGGTGAGCATGATGCACGGTGTCACCCTCATCCTGTCCTCTCCGATTTTTGATGGCAAGAAGGCGCTGGAGGCCGTCAGCAAAGAGAGGTGGGCATCAGTGGGCAGCTACCTGCTGGCTCATGAGACCCTCCTATTCCTCACTCCTGGGCCCTGATCCCTCTCCAGGATGTCTCCTCCCTCCTGCCAGGAGAAAGGGAGACAGGGTAGTGGGGCACCCCAGGAGAGCATCAGTTCCTGCCTCCAAAGAACTCCTGCCTGTTCCCCTCAGTGGCAGCCTTGGCGCTTACTATAGGTTCAAGGTGGGTGGGTGAAAAGAGGGGGTTTCCTTCTACATCCAAGCCTTATTTTGAGATGCCACCCCCCCCTTATACAGAGGCTCCTTCCTGTATGGCACCCCCACAATGTTCGTGGACATTCTGAACCAGCCAGACTTCTCCAGTTACGACATCTCAACCATGCGTGGAGGTGGGATGGGGCCAAGGGTGGTCAGGCCAGGATTGGCCTGGATGAGCTAGATGTGCACCCAGTCCTTTACTCAGGGGGCGAAAAGGTCACTGTAGAAATGTGGGTGGAAGGGAGGCAACGTCCCAGCCACCTGGACACCAGCCCAAGGCCAGATGCCAAGTGTAGGAACAGGTCCAGGGGCAGGGAAGAGAAGGGTAAGTTCTTCCCTAGAAAGAGCTGCAGGTGCCGGGGGTCCACTGGGCCTGGAGAAGCAGCGAGCCGTGTCAGCCCTCTCTCTGATTCAGGTGTGATCGCTGGCTCCCCTGCACCCCCCGAGGTGATCCGAGCCATCATCAACAAGCTGAACGCAAAGGAGCTGGTGGTGAGTGGCGGCTGGGGCTGGGGCTGTGGGAGGGAGGCAGGGCAGCCTGGGGTGAGAACAGATGTCGGGGTGTAGGGCTGAGTCAGGCCAGGTCTCCAATGTAGACCCTCTCAGCCCACCTCTCTTCCAGAACGCAGATGTGAGAAAATGCAGTCTGACCCCATCATCAGCTGGCGAGTCATGGAGACAGGGAACAGCGGGGAGTAGCTATCATACATACATACATTTATACTTATAGGAACCTGGGGAAGAGGTGCAGCGGGCGGGGGGGTGGGGGGGGGGGGGGGGGGATTTGGCAAAGCACCGGTATCCTGCTAGAGCGTCCTGGCAGGCAGGGGCTGGCGGAGTTGGCCTATGGGCTTAAGACCCTTTCTGGACACAAGGGGCGGGGCAAGGATCTGATGTTTGTTTCCAGATGGAAGGGTGGCCATCCTGATGACCGCCCAGTTCTCGTTCTGAAGGTCTTGAGGGTCTCGGCAACAGCTTCTTTGAGAGGAGCCGTGGCGGGGGGGCCAGGTGTGATGGAGCCCTCGCTGGCAGGTAGAGATGGTGGGGCTGGGTTCACGCTGGAGTGCTGAGCCCCCCAGCCAGGACGCGTCTAGGTGAGGACAGCTCTGTGCATCAGCAGAGGTTGTGGAAGAAGGTGGGGTGGTCAGTAGTTTCTCCAGCAGAAGGCAGAGACCAGTCACCAGGACTGGCTGGATCAGGACCTGCAGTGAGGCAAGGATTGGGTCAGGACTCCAGGAGCCCAGATGACGCTGGGAGAGAATGGTGAGAGCTGTGGGCGGTATCCCTTTAGGAGGGAGGCCCAGTTCCCCTCCTCTTCCTGCAAAACTGGAGGGCCTGCACGCCCCTCTGTGGAGAGGGAGTACACTGGGACACCCCCCTCCCCTGCCCCCTGGCTTGCCAGTATCCCCAGAGAGGGCAACTGCGACCTGCCTGCCCTGGGCCCACCTGTTCAATGGCGGCCGGCTTTCTTGGACCTCTTAGTGGGGAACTTGCAGCTGCGGAAGGCGTCCGTGTCACGGATGTGCTGGCCCTTGAACTTGGCAGGCGAGGCACAAGTGGCATCGGGGCGCGAAGGCTTGGCTTCCAGCCACCTGGAGAGACAGAGAAATGCCGGGGTTGGGGAAGAGATGTGGCAATGCTGGGGGAAGGAACCAGGATTCACTTGGCTCCAGGAGCATCTGGGAACTGTCCCCTTCATTTCACACACATAGGAACTCTGCTCTCGGGTAGCAGATCTAGGCCATTTGCCCAGGATGTCTTTGTGCAGGGCCAGCCTGCCTCCACTGCATCACACGAGGGAGGGCTCTGGGGGTGGCACGGGGATGCTCTCACCTCCGGAGGCCCCGGAGCTGGCAGGTACACTTCCAGGGGTTGTTGGTGAGAGTGAGTGTCTCCAGGTGGTCGAAGGGGAAGGTGGAGGGCAGCTGGGTCAGGCGGTTGTTCTCCAGATGCACGTTTTTCAGCGTGGTCACCCCCAGGAAGGCACCGTCAGAAATCTGTGGAGCAAGGCAGACACGAGTGAGCACCCCAGCCCCAGCGTCCAGCCTCTCCCAGCTCTAGGGCCCCAGAGGGGCAGGGTCCCTCCCTGGACATAAGCGGTAGCACCTTGAGGAGTGTCACCATGTGACCACGTTGTCTCTGATGGTTTAGCGCAAGCAGCCGCCTTTTGAGATAGCTCCTGCTATTTCCAATATGCAGGCAGGAGGAAAAAGTGAGGTCCCTTGCCCAGGGTCACAGTAGGGAGTAAACAGTAGCTGTAGGACCACACCCAGCTCCTCTGCCCCTGGCACCACACTCCCTGCACAAACACTGCCCCTGGGGAGGCAGCCAGAGTTTGGCCCCAGCGGCCCAGGCTGGCAGATGGTGAAGCTGGTCAGTGTTTGGTGGGATGGGCAGTGGGCCCAGGCTCCCCGCCGCCCTAGGGTGCTGGGACTTCCCCCAACTCTGTCCTCACTGCTCCCTCGCTGCCTGCCAGCAGCTATTTGTGGAGCCTCCTTGGTGGAGCCTTTGGCCAGGTTGGACAGTTCCAGAGGAAATGTTCTATTGGTGCCCACATCTTGGCCCGGGCGTCACAGATCCTGCCTGGCCGCCCCTGGCCCAGATCAGCCCCTGCTGCCCCTGCTCTGCTGCCCACCGAAAAGCTGCTCTGGCACTGCCCCCCCACCCCTCCCGGGAACTCTGACTTCAGTGGGGGAGGGGCCAGGTTGAAGAAGGGCAGGCTCCATTCATGCAAACAAAGGTTGGCTGCCTTCCAGGTTTGATTGTGTCCTTATCTCCATGCTTGTGGCCAGGGAGGGGTGTGAAGTTCTCTGGTAACCAGACTGTTCTGATGGCTGTCTCCCCCACCTTTCCCCGGTGCCGGCCCAAACTCCTGGCCGAAGCCCCCGCACCACAGCAGTTTTTCCAGCCCCCAAAAGGGGTTCCACCCGGACCCAAGGCAGCCCCACCTGGCCAGGTGCTGAGCATCACAGGGGAGGAAGGATTCAGTGAGGTTGCAGCCAGGAGATGGGTCTGGTGACGGGTGGGCAGGGGACAGGGTGGCATAGCTAGTCTTTCCCGTAGGGAGACATCGGGGGACCTGTGCCAAAGGTTGACAACCGTGTGTGGTTCTTGCCTTTGCCCTTTCACAGAGCTCTTGGGTGCCAGGCCTGCAATCTGGGGGGAGCCTCTGCTCCCTGGTCCCCATTCGGTTGAAATGGACCTGAGAACGCAGTGGAATATGTGTGTGGACGGGGGCGGGGGGGCATTCACCACAGCCCCTGGGGTGCGTGGAGGAGGTCTTATTCGGGTATTGGCTCCCCCCTCACTCCCCAGCCCCCCATCCCACCACAGCGCGCACGCACACCCCCCTGCAGGAACAGGGTCTCTTTGTGGGCCTGATTCACCCAGCTCCTCTGGAAGCCTCCTCAATACACAAACCTTCCTTTATGGGGTGGTAGGTTTACTGGAGACAGAAAAACAGAAGAGGAGGGGCAGGAGGCCCAACAGGAAGAGGTGGCTGCTGCCCACAGTGGGGGGTGTGGGAGCCCTGGACCTGCTTCCTAGGGGCCGTTGGAGGGGCCAGGGAAGCCAGGCTCCGTTTATAAGTGGAAATGCTAGGAGGGCAGTGGCTGAGACGAGGGACAGGGGCTGCTGGGCAGGGTGGGGATGTGGCGAGATGAGAGGCAAGAGCTCCTCACCTTGGAGATAGCCAGAGGGACAGAGGCAACTTTAGGGCCGAAGGGATGGTGCCCAGCCGAGGCCCTGGATCCCTGGGCCTCCAGGCAGAGAAGGAGGAGCCAGGGCCCGGCGCTGCAGCCAGGAGCTCACCTTGTCCAGGTTGGTGCTGTCCAGCCAGAGGCTCTCCAGGTACCTGCCGAACGACTGGAAGGCGCCCTCGGGGATGCTCCTCAGGGGGTTGTGGGACAGCTTCAGCTCCTCCACCACCCGCAGCTTGCTCAGGGCCGCCGCGGGGTAGCTGGACAGCTGGTTCCGGTCCAGGTGGAACTTGGCCAGGTTCTCCACGTCGTCCAGGGCGCCGGGCTGCAGGGAGCTGAGCGCGTTCTCCGACAGGTAGAGCCAGCGCAGGTCCTTGGCGCCCTGGAAGGCGCCGGCGCGCAGCTCGCGGATCTTGTTGTTGTTGAGCTGCAGGATGAAGAGGTTGACCAGCGGGGACAGCAGCCCTCGGGGCAGCTCCGTCACCTTGTTGTGGTCCAGGTAGAGGTAGGTGAGCTCGCTCAGGTCGTCGAAGGCGCCGGCGCGCAGCACGCGGATGTCGTTGTGGGACAGGTACAGGTAGATGAGCTGCTTGAGGCCCCGGAAGGCGCCGGCCGCCACCTCGCGGATCTGGCAGTGCTGCAGGTGCAGCGACACCAGGTTGGGCATGGCCCGGAAGGCGTTGGCGGCCAGCACGGGGAAGTTGTTGCGCTGGAGGTTGAGCAGCTTGGTCTTCTCGGACACCTTGGGGATCTTCTGCAGGCCCACCTTGTCGCAGATGACGTGCTGCAGGTCGCCGTGGCAGTGGCAGTTCTGGGGGCAGGCGGCCAGCGCCGGCAGCAGGCCGGCCAGGAGGCCGAGGCTGAGCAGGAGGACCGGGCAGGCCATGGCCGGGGCGCCTGGGGCCGGGCTGGGGGCAGCGGCGACAGCGACGGCGACGGCGGGGCCCGGGCAGCGGGAAGTCCTGGGCGCCCGGGTCTCCCGCCCTATTTATACGGTAGCCCTGACCGCAGCTGACAGCCGGAGCCAGCTCCTACGTGGAGCATCGAGGCCACCGGGCTTAACTCCCGCCCGCCCGCCCGGTGATGCGCCCCCGCCCTCCACTGGGAGGGGGCGGCCCCTCCCCCAGCTGGCGACCTTGCAGGACAAGGGACTGTGGCCCTCCACCTCCTCCCCTGCTCCGGGATCCTGCTTCTGTCCAGCCCCCCTCGCTCCTTCCCGTGCTTTTTTGGGGGGTGGTGTGGGGTGGGGGTGGTTGTTTAGAGCCCTGCGATGACACCGCAGGGATGGAGGCGTCCGGGGACGTCTTTGTTTGCTCAAGTTCGAGCCTCCCTGCTCCCCTCCCCCCCCACCCCCTCCCATACACACTGGGCCGGGTGCCCTGGACCCAGAGAGGGAGGAAGCGGGGCCGGACGGCCGGACGCGAGTCTCGCCGCCGCCGAGGTCGGCCAGCCCCGCCGGTGCTTTAATGGGGCTCTTGTGCGGCGCCCGCTGGGCTTGCGAACCGCCCTGGCGTCGGGCTCCCCCTTCTGGCTAGACTCGCAGGCAGCCCCCGGGAGAGGGGCGCTCCTCGCCCCGCCCTTGGACTTGCCTCGGGCTCCACTCTACCAGCCCGGCGCTGGAGTCTTCCCTGCATCCACTCTCCCCTTTCTCCCCTTTTTCCTTGGCTGAAGACTAACCGGAACAGAGTGTGTGTGTGTGTGTGTGTGTGTGTGTGTGTGTGTGGCGGGGATGGGGGGGTGGGGTGACCAACAGGACTCAAAAACACACCTGAAGCCCTAACCGGTTTGGCTCAGTGGCTAGAGCGTCGGCCTGCGGACTGAAAGGTCCCAGGTTCGATTCCGGCCAAGGGCATGTACCTTGGTTGCGGGCACATCCCCAGTAGGGAGTGTGCAGGAGGCAGCTGATATATGTTTCTGACTCTCTATCCCTCTCCCTTCCTCTCTGTAAAAAATCTATAAAATAAAATTTTTAAAAATACCACACCTGAATGAAGATCACAGGCAGGGAGTCAGGGCAACTGAACAGGCACAGTCCCACCCCCACCCCGTTTCATCTCCTTAAAATATTCCATCCCCTCATTCCCATCTCCAGGGTGGTGGCCAGAGTGGCGCCAAGATGTACTTGGCAGAGGCCGCACCTGGGCAGTGGCCCCAGGACGAGGAGAGCCGGGTGGGTGAGGGGGCTCCCGGTCCTGGCTACAAGGGCCCAGGTCCTGTGGGCAGCCCTGCCCCAGCCGACCAGGCCTCTGTGTGTCCGGATTCCTGCGGAAAGGGGCTGCCTGGCAGGGAATGTTGTCTGTGTTGGGAGGTGGTGGAGGAACTGGACCCCAGGTGTTGCCAGACCCCAGCTGTGCCGGAGCTGTGCCAGCCGACACAGAGGAAATGGGAGATGGGGGGCATGGAGGACAAAGGTCTCGTGTCTTTGTGGACTGGGACGGACATAGGATACAGAGTGGCTGGCCCTCTCCTCACTCAGGGGTGGGGACCTGCCCCTCTCACCCCGTAGCCTCCAGGTGAGGGTCATACTTGGCCCAGGACACTCCCTGATGGTATTTAGGCTCCTCCGAGACTGGCTTCTGGTTTTCTGTTGCTCAGGATGTTCCAACCACTAGAAGGGGAGGGGGGCCACTGGCTTTGAAAACCCTTGCTTTGGCTGGATTTGTATTTTGATGGAAATAAAATTCACAGGAAACTCTCCAGAGCTTAGGGGCACTCACCCCAAGGCCAGGCACTTGTCCCGGGTTTGGGTGGATGGGGCAGGGTGGGTTGGGGGTTATGGATGTGCGGCTCCCAGCTGACCCGGGCAGGCTGGCTTTCTCATCACGCTTATGGGACCTTTGGCTTGGAAGGGATGGGGAGGGGATGTGTGGCCTGAAGTCAGGAAGTGGGGCTAAGGCAGCCTGGGGATAGGGGAGAGAAGGCTGGGAGCCGTCGACTGGGGGTGCGGCTGCTCCAGGGAAACAGAGAGACGGAGAGAGCCCTGGCCGGAGAGAATAGCTCCCCTGCTCCGTTTCCCATCTGGGGCCAGTAGTTGAGTTAGTCAGCTCAGTGTCCCAGCGGCTCCGCCTCCTGACCCCTGACCTCCACCAACTGTGCCTCCTTCCCCACCACTCAGCTGCCCTCCAGGTTCCCCTGATTCCTTCCGTCCCCTGGGGCAGCTCACCCCATCTCTCTGCAGTCCCCTCCCGCCCTCCAACACCCCTTCTGGACCCTCTAGGTTGCCTATGGGACCACAGAGAACAGCCCTGTGACCTTCATGAGCTTTCCCGAGGACACGGAGGAGCAGAAGTCCCAAAGTGTGGGCAGAATCATGCCTCACACAGAGGTGAGCCCCCCTACCCCCCATCTGGGAGCCCCAGTCCCCACCCCCTGTAGAGACCCACCCCCTGCCCCCAGCAGGGTCTTCCCCAGGCCTGGCCCCGGGCTTTCTCTGTGGGCTGAGGCCTGAGAGGAAGAGCTGAGCTTCGGCCACGAGCAGCTGCCAGCTGAACTTCTCCGCAGCCTCCCTTCCTGTCTGAGGTGTGTTTTTGCCAAGCCCCACTGTCTGTTTCGGGGCAGCCAGGACAGCCTCGAAGAGGAGCCAGAGCACAGAGATTTTTCCTACACAGCGCCTTCTCCCCCCGCAGGCCCCCTACCCTCACTGCGGCAGAGTTCCTCCTTTCGCTTGGCGGAAATGCCCCCTTTCCCAAGCAGCCTGTCCCTTCGGGGGTCCCTTGCGCCTCGAGGCTGACCCCAATCGTCTCTCACTGTCAAATTCCCAACAGTGCCTCCTCTCCTGCTCCATCGCTGGTGCTTTATGCCAGTCCACACCTGGTTCCCCTTGCCCCCTTGTGCCCTGGCGCCTCTGAGGGCACTGCCAGTGTGCCCAGGCAGCTGCTTCCCCTGGAGCCAACCGCCGTCCTGGTGGGAATCTTTCCTGCCCTCCTCCCTGGAGTGAGTGTGCAGTGACGTCAGCCCCCTCCCAGCCCCTTCCCATGCGTCTGACAACCTCACTGCCACTTGGTGGGACGCCCACCTGTGAGGTAGACAGGGCCAGCGCCGTTGTCCCCATTTCACAGAGGCGAACACTGAGGCACACAGAGGCTGCGTTTTCCTTTCACGTTGGCTGCGGCCCATCTCTCTGCTAGGCTTTCAGGCTGCCTCTCTGCCGCCTCTCCTGTTCACATGGCCTGACCACACCACCCTCTTTGGCTTCTCTATTTGCTGCTAAATGGGAACTCAGAGAACACTGCTGTTCCTCCTGCACAGCTTGTAACTCCTCGGCCCACCTGGCCCGCCATAGGCCTCCTTCTCTGTGACAGCTCCTGTCCACTCCGTTTCCTCAGGACCCCTGGGCTGGGCCTCACCTGTGCTTGTGTGCCCGGCTCAGGTGTCTGACTGGTGATGGGTCCACTCTGGCCTTGTCTCCCTTCCTTGGATCTGGCTGGGCAGAGCCGGGGGGGGCCTCACTGTTAGGGGGCAGGAAAGACGAAGCTCCCAGCCATTCCCGAGTCTCTCTCTGCCCCCCCTCCCCCATCCTGAAGTGGGAGGGTGGAGGCCCCCTCCTGAACCTGCCCTGTCCCAGGCCCAGATCGTGAACATGGAGCTGGGGACCATGGCAGAGCTGAACACACCCGGAGAGCTGTGGATCCGAGGCTACTGCGTCATGCTGGGCTACTGGGGGGAGCCCCAGAAGACTGAGGAAGTAATTGGACAGGACAAGTGGTATCGGACAGGGTGAGAGGGCGGAGCAGGGCAGAGGGTTTGGCTGCTGAGGGGAAGCTGGGGGCATTACACTCGAAGAGGGAGAATATGTGTGTCAGTATGGCCCCTTCGCAGACCTCGTTTCCACAATGTGTAAAGTGGGGACGATCAGAGTCCGTGCCTCGGACCGCTGGACAGTGCGCGACACCGGTGTCTGCAAAATCAGAGCCAAGGGTAGACACTCATTTGTTAATTCAACAAATTCTTCTTCACCTGTCACGTGCCAGCACTCTGTTCCAGACACTGGCGGACCAGTGGAAAGCAAATGAGAACGATCTTACTGTTACTGCTCACATGTCTGGTGGAGGGAGACGGATACAAATAAGAGGGTTTCAGACACTGATAAAAATGAAGAAAAGAAAATGAGATCAGAGGAAAGAAAGGGCCTCTAGTAGAGAGGGGAGCTTGAGTGGGCAGAGAAGGCCTCCCAAGGTGTACACCTTTGAGCTGAGACCTGAATGATAGAAAAGAAGTCAAGCCCTGGCCAGGTAGCTCAGTTGGTTAGCGCATTGTCCCGTTACACCCAAGGATATAGGTTCGATTCCCGGTCAGGCACAAACAAGACTCCACCAACGGCCCGGCCAGTGTGGCTCATTCGACCTATGAACCAGGAGGTCACAGTTCGATTCCTGATCAGGGCACATGACCGGGATTGTGGGCTCGCTCCCCAGTGGGGGTTGTAGGAGCCAGCCGATCAATGACTCTCTTCATGGATGTTTCTATCTCTCCCTCCCTCTCCCTTCCTCTCTGAAATCTATAAAAATATATTTTTAAAAAAGAATCAACCAATGAATGCATAAATAAGTGGAACAACAAATCAATGTTTCTTCTCTCTCCCTCAAATAAATAAATTTTTAAAAAAAGTCAGCCATGAAATGCATAATCATAGATTTGTTGAGAGAGAGGCCATGTTATAGGTATTGGTTTGTTTTTTTTCCTCCCCCCTCCACTAGACTGTAAGTTCCAGGGAATATCTTGTTCATGCTGTAGCCTCCAGAGTCTAGAGCAGTGGTTCTCAACCTTCCTAATGCCGCGACCCTTTAATACAGTTCCTCATGTTGTGGTGACCCCCAACCATAAAATTATTTTTGTTGCTACTTCATCACTGTAATGTTGCTACTATTATGAATCGTCATGTAAATATCTGATATGCAGGATGTATTTTCATTGTTACAAATTGAACATAATGAAAGCATAGTGATGAATCACAAAAACAATATGTAATTATATCTGTGTTTTCTGATGGTCTTAGGTGACCCCTGTGAAAGGGTCGTTCGACCCCCAAAGGGGTCGCGACCCACAGGTTGAGAACCGCTGGTCTAAAGCAATGCAAGACACATAGTAGATGCTTAATGAACGCTAGATGAATGAGTGAGTGCGCCGGCCGGTTGAGGCAGAGGCAAGAGGCCCTTTCCGGCCTTTCCTTGCAGAGACATTGCCACCATGGATGAGCAGGGCTTCTGCAAAATCGTGGGCCGCTCCAAGGACATGATCATCCGGGGCGGCGAGAACATCTACCCCACGGAGCTTGAGGACTTCCTTCACACACACCCGCAGGTGCAGGAAGTGCAGGTGAGGCACCCAGTCCAGGTGAGCCCCAGGAGCAGGAAACCCCAGCAGGGATGGTGAGGTCTGAGACCTGTCTGTCCCTCTGGAAGGTGGTGGGAGTGAAGGATGACCGGATGGGGGAGGAAGTCTGCGCCTGCATCCTGCTGAAGAGTGGGGAAAAGTCCACACCAGAGGAGATCAAGGCTTTCTGCAAAGGGAAGGTGGGAGCCTTAACGCACCCCAACTTATGGTACTCTGTTCTTCACCCCCCACCCCCTTCTCCCTGCCAACCACTCCACCCACTGTCCCTTCTCCCAACCCTATGATCCCCACCCAGCCTCATGCTTTATCTCCCTCTGGTCTGCAGATCGCCCACTTCAAGATTCCCCGGTACATCGTGTTTGTCACCACCTACCCCCTCACCATCTCAGGAAAGGTGTGTAAGATGGAGAAGACAAGGGAGGGGCAGGATAGCCTGGGGCCCCGGCACAGAAGGCCAGGTGGCCCTAACTCTGCCCCAGGGATGGGTAAGAGTATGGCAGTAGGATGACCGACTAGTCAACTCATCCTGGGTTTGCCCCAAAGTTTCCTGGCTTTCGCCTAAGAAACTCCTCAGTCCCTGGCAAACCAAGACGGCTGGTCACCCTAGCTGGCAGAAGCCGCAAGCCTGGCTTTTATTCCTTTCTCTTTGCTGCAGGTCCAGAAATTCAAACTTCGAGAGCAGATGGAACGGCATCTAAACCTGTGAATAAAGGGGAGGGGGGTCCGCTAGGCCCTCCCTGCCCTTCCCCCATGTTCCCCTCGTCTGTCTTTGTGATTTGACATAAAGAGCTTCTCTGTTTTCTTTGGCTGATCTCTTGCTGGTGTGGCCTCTTGGCAGCTACTGTGGGATGGAGGGAAGGATCTAAAGGGAAACTAGCATTTTCAGACCCACTCCTTATCAACGATGTGCTAGGCACTTGGGTGTGCATTTATCTACTTAATTTAATCCTCACTCGATCCCTTGAGATACCAAAGGGATTCAGTGAGGATTTTAAAGACTATACGCATTTCTTTTTCATATTATCACCATCAAGAAGTATTCTTTTTTAATAACAGCTTCATTGAGATATCGTTCACATACCATCCAATTCCCCCATTGAAAGTGTACGATTCATTGGTTTTTAGTATATTCACGGATCTATGCCACCACCATCACAATCAATTTGAACATTTTCATCTCCTGAAAAAGAAACTCCGTGCCCTTTAGCTATCATCCCACATCTCCCTCCCCCCAAAACAAATACGTGTTTTTTTTTCATCAATGAACCTGGGCTTGCTTGATGGGCAGAGCCAGATAAAGCAGGCTGTACCTTGACCCAAGAAATAAAAACTGTACTTCCTGCTTGCAATCCTGGCCCTCTAGCAGCAGTGGCCTTCTCTTTTTAGACCGTGAACGTACGTCTCGGGCACTCTGGGCGCCAGGCTCGATGCTAGGTGCTTTCTTGCACTCTTCCCAACAACCCTGCCAAGTGGACATTAGCCCCATTTCACAAATGATGAAACGGAAACGCAGGGCCATCTGGTGTCTTGCCCAAGGCCACACAGCTGGAAGTAGAACCTACTTGTCCGACTCCAAAGCCCATGATCTTCCCACTTCATGGAACAGTTCAGGTGCCTACTTCCCCAGCCCTTCACCTGAACCCTGTCTCTCCACAGACACCACCCTTGGCTCTCCTCCCAGCAGGTGTGTGGTGGTGGTGGAGGTGGTGGGTGGGGTGGGGGGTCTGACCTAGGAGCTGACAGCCTAGTCTCCTGGCCTAGCGGCTTCCCCTGGGATTTTTCTGCTCCTTCAACGTCCAGCCCAAGTGTCCTCTCCTCCCATACCGACTCCCCGGCCCTTGTAACAGATCGCCCCACAGCACAGAGCAGACGGGCCTAGTACCCAGCAGATGCGGAATTAATATCTGTTGCCTTTTGTCTCTTGTTGGCTTGCTTCTCCTGTACTGTGACTTGGTCTGATGCATCCGATGTCCCCAGTGCCCAGCTCTGTGCCAGGCACATAAAATGTTAAGGAATTCACTGAATGGACTAAGAATTCCTGGGTGGGCCAGGGTCCTCGCCCCGACAGGAACCTCCCGGCGGCCAGGGAAAGGAAGGCCAGGCGGCCGCGGTGAGCGCATATGTGCCCGGCAGGTGGCGCCAGAGACCCCAGGCCGCGGGCGCTCCGGGCGCGTCGGACGCGGCGCTCAGTCGCGCAGCCCCTGTTCCTTCCGCCGGGGCGGCCCCACCGGTTCGGCTCTGCGCGCGCTGTGCGCCCTGGGCGCGTCCCGGGCCCGGATCCGGCCGGGTGCAGCGCGCCGCCCGCCCCGCCGCCCGCCCCGCCGCCGTGCGCACCATGACGCTTCCCGGGGCCCGCGCCGGTGCCTGGGCGGCCGCGGCCAGAGCGGCCCAGAGGCGCCGCCGCGTGGAGGGCGCGGGAAGATCGCCGCGTCCCGTGACCCGGAGCCAGCGCGCCGCTCTTTACGTCCACGTGAGTGGGGAGGAGGAGGCAGGGCAGGAGTCCACAGGGTGACTTGTCACGCGTGAGCCCACCCGCCGACCTTCCCCGCTCCCGGGCGAGGGCTTGGCTAGGACCCTGCCCCGGCAGGGAAATGTCCGTGCCCGTGCCCGGGGACCTGAAGTCTCTGGTGCTCACCAGCGCGGTGACCCTTGACCTTGTGGCTCCCCTTCTGAACCCCAGTTTTGTCTTATTGAAGTGGGCATGATCCCAGTCTTCGGGAGTTGCGGGGCTCAGATGGCGTAGCCACTGTCCACAGACCTGGACTGGGGTTGGGAATGTGTGCAGCTGAACCCTGGAAGGGGCCGGGGCAGCCCGGAGCCCCTCTCACCCCCTCAAACACCCCTCGCCCCCAGTGGCCCTACTGCGAGAAGCGCTGCAGTTACTGCAACTTCAATAAGTACATCCCCCGCGGCGTGGACGAGGCTGCCATGCGGAGCTGCCTGGTGACGGAGGCCCAGACACTGCTGCGGCTCAGCGGGGTGCAGCGGTGGGTACTGGGGGGCTGGAGGCGGGGCTTGGCGGGCGTGGATAGGACGGGTGCTGGAGGGCTCCCCCAGGCCTCATGTTCTTTATCTTCTTTACCCAGGGTGGAGTCTGTGTTCTTTGGCGGAGGCACCCCGAGTCTGGCCAGTCCCCACACTGTGGCTGCTGTCCTGGAGGCAGTGGCCCAGACAGCTCACCTGCCCGCAGACTCTGAAGTCACGTTGGAGGTGAACCCCACTTCTGCCCCAGCCTCTAGGTTGGCAGCATTTGGGGCAGCAGGAGTCAACAGGTTGTCCATTGGCCTCCAGGTAACCAATCGGTCCACCCCATCCCAGGGCACCCAGCCCTTCCGTGCTGTCTCTCCACTGGTCACATTCGTTTATTGGACAAGCATTTACTAATTTATTTTTAAAAACAGTTATTTATTGTTGAAAGTATTATATATGTCTCCCTCTTTCCCCCATTGACCCCCTCCAGCCCCAGGCCGTCAGCACCCCATTGTCTGTGTCCATGGGTTATGTATACATGCACACAAGGTCCTTGGTTGATTACCTCCCACCCACCCAGCCTCCCCCGCCTTCCCTCCGAGATTCTGCACTCTGATCCATGCTTCCATGTCTCGGGATCCACTCTGTTCATCAGTTTATTTTGTTATTTAGATTCCACATGTGAGTGAGATCATGTGATACTTGTCTTTCTCTGACTGACTTATTTCACTTAGCATGACACTCCCCAGGCCCCTTCACACTTGGACAAACATTTATTGAGCTCCTTCTGGGTGCCAAGGCTTAGTAGGTACTGAAGAGTGCTGACGCTTTTGTAACTATGCTATTGTCGGCTTCTGTGCCAGACCACCGTGCTCCAAACACCCTCCATAGTGCCTGGCACATAGCAGATGCTCAGAAAAGATTTGTTACATGATCAGAGACACAGCAGGAGGCAAGCAGGTGGTCAGCTCGTTGCAGCATGGTAAGGGGTGGGGGGTCTCTACAAAAGGCTTTCAGAGTACAGACTGAAGGGCATCTCCGTCTGATGAAATCATAGAAGCCCTCCCAGACCGGTGATGTTTGAATGAGGAGGAGGAGTTCACCAGGGGAGAGGCTGTGGGAGGGAAAGACACAGGATATAGAGGAGCCTTGCATGTTTTGGGGGAGCTACGAGTCATTCCTTGTGACGAGAGGCTGGAGACAAGGAAGCCTTCAGCACTATACCAGTGAGTTTGGGTTTGTCTAGTACAGCTGTGGGCAAACTACGGCCCGCGGGCTGGATCAGGCCCGTTTGAAATGAATAAAACTAAAAAAAGAAAAGACCGTACCCTTTTATGTAATGATGTTTACTTTGAATTTATATTAGTTCACACAAACACTCCATCCATGCTTTTGTTCCGGCCCTCCGGTCCAGTTTAAGAACCCGTTGTGGCCCTCGAGTCAAAAAGTGTGCCCACCCCTGGCCTAGTAGTTGACAGGGAACCACTGAAGGTGTTGAAGTAGGGAGAAATAGAATCCTCTCAGGTTGGCCTGTCCTGTTTTTGTATCCAGTATTGCTTTCTCCATTTCTAATACATGCACCACTTACCATAGGGTTTGGGGTCAGAGCCTTGCTCTCATGGGACATACTGAAAGGGACACGTCATTGCTGAGATAGTGTGGCCCCAGATGCATGCCTATCTGGACTCTAATTGTAAAGAAACCTAAATTAAGAGACTTTTTGCCATGGCTGGGTAGCTCAGTTGGTTAGAGTGCCGTCCCGATACGCCAAGGTTGTGGGTTCAGTCCCCAGTCTGGGCACATACAAGGATCAACCAGTGAATGCATAAATAAGTGGAACAACAAATCAATGTGTCAATAAGAAAATTAAAAGGAAAAAGGCTTTTTGTATGTGTGGTAAGAACCGATAACATGAGGTTGATCTAACCTCATCACATTTTTAGTATACAGTATACAGTAAAAATCTGTTAACTGTTAGGACAGTGGTGAACAGCAGATCTCTAGAATTTCTTCAGTAAGCAATATTTTGAAAAATACCTGGCCCATACTCTTCATGAAAGATATAGGAAGGCTAAGGATCTAGACCAGTGATGGCGAACCTTTTGAGCTCGGCGTGTCAGCATTTTGAAAAACCCTAACTTAACTCTGGTGCCGTGTCGCATATAGAAATTTTTTTTATATTTGCAACCATAGTAAAACAAAGACTTATATTTTTGATATTTATTTTATATATTTAAATGCCATTTAACAAAGAAAAATCAACCAAAAAAATGAATTCGCGTGTCACCTCTGACACGCGTGTCATAGGTTCACCATCACTGATCTAGACTAAAGGCAACAAATGAGACAATGACAGCTGAGTGCCATGTGTGACCTTTGATTGGGTCCTAGAGTGGGGTGGGAAGAGGAAATTACTATAGTAGGCATTATTGGGACAGCTGGCCAGATTTGAATATGACTGTGTATTAGCTAATGGCATTGTGTCAATGTTACATTTCCTGAACTCTGTAATTGGCTTGTGGTTATGTAAGAGAATGTCCTTGTTGTTAGGAAGTACACACTTAACTATTTAGGGGTGAAAGGGTACAATATTTAAGTTGATTACATTTAAATAACCCATTTGCAAATGCTCACTAGCGTGTGGCCGGTGGCTACCACGAACATGTTCTATAGCCGCACTGACCAAATGCCAGTAAACATTTGGAATGTGATTATTTAAATTTAATTATCTTGAAATTTAAATAGTCATATGTGTGAACGCCTACTGTATTGGACAGTGCAGGTAGAGAACATTTCCGTAGTGCTGGTCTGTAAATTACTCTCCAATGGGTCAACATCATCATACTATGTGTGTGCATTTATAGAGAGAGAAAGCATATGTGGCAAAATGTGAGTTGGTGAATCTAGATGGTGTTCATTGACTTTTTTTTTAACGTTTCTATAGGTTTGAAATATCCTATAGGTTCAAATAAAATTAAGACAGACTCTTGGCTTTGGGGCCAGGCAGTCCCAAATTCCAGGTCTGACTTTGCCACTGTATGACCTTGGGCACGTGACTTAACATCTCTGGACACGTGTTTTCTCATCTGTAAATTCGGAGCGGACGTTGGAGGGTTATAAGGATGAATTAGACGTTGCATAAAAAAGCTTGGCACATAGTGCGCGACCCTTCAGTGAATGGTATGCCCTCGGTATTTGGTCTGGCCCTGCCCAGGCATTAGGGGTGAGTGAATTACATATTTGACCAAGTAGAGCAGGCTAATTTTTAAGTTGATCATTTTTGCATGACCCGTGAATGATGTTATAAATATCCAAATGGCCCTTGGCAGCAAAAAGGTTCCCCACCCCTGGCCTCCAGTAAGGTCAGTCCAGTGGTTGGGTTTCGCCCTGAGCCGGCCTGTGCGCTTACAGAGCCTCTCTCCCCAGTCCCTGGATGACACTGAGCTCCAGCTGCTGGGGCGGACACACTCGGCCCGCGACGCTCTGCGGACACTGGCAGAGGCCCGACGCCTGTTCCCCGGGCGCGTGTCCGTGGACCTGATGCTGGGGCTGCCGGCCCAGCAGGTGGGACCCTGGCTCCGGCAGCTGGAGGAACTGCTGCGCCGCTGTGACGACCACCTCTCCCTCTACCAGCTGTCCCTGGAGCGGGGCACGGCCCTCTTCACCCGGGTGCAGCGGGGTGCCCTCCCCACCCCGGACCCCGAGCGCGCTGCCGAGATGTACCAGGAGGGACGGGCGCTCCTTCGGGAGGCCGGCTTCCGCCAGTACGAGGTCTCCAACTTTGCTCGGCATGTGAGTCCTGGGGCTTATGGCTGACGGTGGGGAGTGGGCAGGCTAAGGGGTGCCCTAGGAAAGTGGCCCTGTGGGGAGAAGGGTCTCAGCGGGGTCCTCGAGGTCTGAGGTGGGGGCACCCTTTCACCGGGTTCCCCTTGCCTGAGCTGCAACAGGGCTGCCAGCTTGGCTCGGCCCTGACTGTTCCCTCCCTCTCCACAGGGGGCGCTTAGTACCCACAATTGGACTTACTGGCAGTGCGGCCAGTACATTGGCGTTGGGCCGGGTGAGTCCCCGTGAACCGTAGGAGGGGTGGCTCAGGCGTGGAATGTCACGGTTGTGTGATCTCGGCCGCTTATTGACCTCTGTTTTCTCATATGTACGGCGCGGCAAAAAGGGATGCCGCTGAGTGTGTATTTTGAGGTGCTTGATGATGCCCGGCACCGTGGTTCTCAGCCTGTAGCACACGCGGAGTTACCTGGAAGGCCGGTTAAAACCCAGGTGGCTGGGCCCCACCTCCAGAATTTCTGGTTGCACAGGGCGGGAGTAAGGCCCACAAATGTAGGTTCCTAGCATATTCGATGCTGTGGGTCCGGGGATCCCACTTTGAGAACCACTGACGACATCTGGCAGGTGCGCCGTGTTCGCTGGCATGAGAGTGGGTGTGGTTGTTGATGTTGTCAGGGGCCCATGGGCGATTTGTGCCCCAGGGAGCCGGGGGCCTGGCTCGGGAGGCTCGGATCCAGACCCTGGAGCCTGACAACTGGATGAAGGAGGTGAAGCTGTTCGGTCACGGCACCCGGAAGCGCGTCTCCCTGGGCGAGCTGGAGCTGTGAGCATCTGAGGGCACAGGGCGCTTCCCCCGGGTTCCCCTGCGGCCCCAGAACCACCTCCATGTGCACCTTCTCATTTCTTGCCTTGGCCCCTACTGCATGGTCCTCCTAAGTCCCCCCATACACACCCCCCAACATAGGGCTTGAAGGCTGGGAGAAGCACAAGTCTCCCCTCCAAGACCCCTTGATGGTTTTCCTTTCAGGCTGGAGGAGGTTTTGGCGATGGGGCTACGCACAGACGTAGGGATCACTCACCAGGTAAGGGGTCCAGGGGCTCCGGCACACGGCTTCCTCCTAAGCCGTGCATAATCATTTCTCACACACACACACACACACACACACATACACACACACCTCCCATCCCTCTGGCAGCTGGAAGTTGGGGTTTAGTCCAGCTGAGGCCTGGTGGGCAGTGTGGTGCAATGGTGAGGACTCTGGACAAGGGCTGCAGAGACCCAAGCTCTAGGCTCCTTCTACTGCACCCTTGAGCACACCTCCTCTCACCTCTCTGAACCTCCGTTTTCTCAGCTGTGTGGGGGAATAGACTAGATTAAGGGCTTCAGATGTTTTAAGTAGCACTGAACGCTCAGCTAGGAAGTGCAGTAAACCATCAGTCCAACTCAAGCTGCTCTGGATGAAGTCGGCTATAAAGCCCTGGCCATATCCTGAGCGGGGGGCGGGGGGGGGGGGGACGGTGAATCTAGGGAGACCTGGCTTTCGGCCTAAACGTGGAGGAGTGAAGGTGCCCACATCCCTGCTGGCCTGCCGGCCTGGGCCTGGTGTGCATGAGCGTCAGTTGGCTGAGATCCCTGTGCTGGACTGTACCCTCCCTCACCCCTTACCCCTCACCCCTCACCCCTCACCCCTCACCACGCCCCCAGACACATGGCCCAGAGGAGCCCCACACCTCTGACCCTTCTGGTCTCCCCAGCACTGGCAGCAGTTTGAGCCCCAGCTGACCCTGCGGGACGTGTTTGGAGCAAGCGAGGAGGTGAACAGGCTGCTGGAGCAGGGCTTGCTGCTGCTGGATCACAGGTGTGCTGGCGGTGGGAGGGTGGTTAGAAGTCGCAGGGAGCCCTGACTACCGACCACACACCGGGGAAAAGTGAGCAACGCTGATGGGGAAGGGCCTGCGGGTGCCATTGGCCCTGGTAGACGGTGGGCATTGAAATCGGTGAGAGGAGGCAGCCGCAGCCAGGCCTCTTGGTTTTCTAGGGGTCTTCGGTGTTCCTGGGAAGGTCTGGCTGTGCTGGACTCGCTGCTGTTGACCCTTCTACCTCGACTCCAAGAGGCCTGGCAGCAGAAAACCCCCTCTCCTGTGCCAGGAGGGTGACGGATGTCCCTGCATTCCAGGACAGAGTCCTGGGTGGGCTTGGGGCTGGACTGACACTTACAGACATCTCAGCTCTCATCATTGCCCAGCCCTGGCATCCCCAGGGGACCACCTACAGTGAGATGGATGGGAGGACCCCTGTCGGAGGCCTGGGAACTGGCATCCAGTGTGCCCACCGCTGCCAGGGCAGGAGTCGTGGTATCTGCGAGTGCCTCTCACTGGTGGTCTCTAAAGTAACTCCTGGCTGTCAAGAGCTTCCGAGGGACCCAGCTCTCAGGCTTCCAGCCCCTACAATGCAGGGCGGGACCTAGAAGGGGCTGAGCGATGCTGGCCGACCCCTGTGTGTATCCAGCACAGGGCCTGCCTGCTGGCCTCTGACAACAGTGGGCAAGATCAGAGCAAGCCCTGCCCCTTCTCTTTTGGCAGCCAGGATATGTTTGGGGTGTCAGGAGCCTCAGAGACCTTCCTGAGTTTCCTCCCCTGTTCCCTCTCCGTGCAGCCTTTCCCTGTGAGAAAAGGGTTGGGGGGGTTAGGGGGGGGCAAGCAGGGAAGAGGGAGGGAAGAAGAATTCAGAAAAGACCCAGAGCCTGCTGATCCTCCCCTGGCCTTTCATGTGCAGAAATGGCCGCCTGGCTGTATGTAAGAAGCCTGACAAGACCCTCTGGAGCCTGTCTTGACTGTGGTCCTCTCCTTTGTCTGGGCTCCTTTGTGGAGCGTGGAATTCTGACTTGGGGGCTAGAGACTTAGTTTAGGCTGAGATCTGTTCCTGTTCCCCGGCAATTATTTACCCAGTGACTTTAGCATCCGTCAGGGATCCTTGCCCACAGCCATGATTAGATTGAGGGTTGCAAAATGTTAGTTTCTGACTCTCATCCCATCTACATTCATCGACGGGCATCCATCCATATCAAAAGAGCTTCCCCCTTTTGGAGGGCTGACACTCTGAGCCTAGAGATTGTATGCAGGGTGTGTGTGTGTGTGTGTGTGCGCGCGCGCGCGCGCGCGAAAGAGAAAGGCGTTTTCCTGTGCCCAGGCTTCCTAACTTCATATCAAAGGGTTACTGTGATGCCTGAAGGAATTCAGTCCCACCGCAAATCGGGGTGTGCTCAGCTCAGCCTCTAGCTGGGTGACTAAGGATGGGTGGGGTTTCCCACCCCTCCGAGGTGAGCACGTGCATTTCCCGTGTGCCTAGTGGGTGTGAATATCAGTCCTTCTGTGAACCTGTGGTAAGTGTTACAACTTCTCATTTATTCATGAAATATTCAGCAGGCACTACTGGTGTGCCAGGCACTGTGCTGGGCACGCAGAGAGGAACAAGACCTGTCCCCGCCCATGAGGGACTCACCACCGTGTTGACAGATGTGTAAAGAGATACATTTCAGGGTTATCAGTGAGGCTGTGCAGGTGGACTGGGGAAGCCTGCCACACGTCTGGTTCGGAGGGGCTGGGGGCAGAAAGGGGGAATACCCTTTTCTTCCACCTCCTCTGGCCCTGGGAAGACTTGTGGGGTGACCGTGCTGCCCAGGGGAGCCTCTTCCCAAGCCTTCCCCTGATCTTGATATTCAAGAAGTGAGCACGGGGCCGGAGCAGGTGCACCATCAGATAACCTGGGCCCACTCAGGTTTCTCCCCGTGGCCAGGCTCCTGCCACCTGAGACACCCAGACCCTCCCTGCTCACTAGGCCTGGCCAGGAGCCAGGGCCAGGTGGGGGTGGCACGGATCAGCTTCCGTGACTCAGCCTGGTCCCACCCTCCCCAGGTGAATCAGAATCTCCTGGGGGTGGAGCCCAGGAATCTAGTTTTTAAATGCTTCCTGAATGGCTCTAGGGATCAGGCCCGTGTGGGGAGCCCTGCCACCTGCCTTCCATCCTCAGAGGCCGGGGTCAGGAGGGACATGGGGGACACGGCTACTTCCCTCTGCATCCAGGCCTTCCAGGCCTCGTTCCTCCAAGGGGTCCTCCACAGTGAGACTCCATTGTCCTTTCTCACCCGCCCTCCTGAAAAGCACACGAACGCAGTTAAGAGGTGAATGAGCTACTTTGGTGGTGAGAGGAGACGGGGAGATGTAATGTGTGTCAGTGTGATGGTTACAGCTTGAAAGAGCAAACCTTCCTCGTACAAGAGCACTAACAATTTTAGAGATTGAACCACCTGCCCCCGACCAAGCAGTGTGCAGGAGGCAGGGCAGCTATTATAATTGCCATTTTATTTTTATTTTTTTATTTTTTTAATATATTTTATTGATTTTTTTACAGAGAGGAAGGGAGAGGGATAGAGAGTTAGAAATATCGATGGGAGAGAAACATCGATCAGCTGCCTCCTGCACACCTCCTACTGGGGATGTGCCCGCAACCAAGGTACATGCTCTTGACCAGAATCGAACCTGGGACCCTTCAGTCCGCAGGCTGACGCTCTATCCACTGAGCCAAACTGGTTCGGGCTATAATTGCCATTTTATATTCAAAGAGGCTCTCTCATTTGACCCAAGTCATATAAGTAGGAAGTAGCAGACCTGGCATAATACTTCTGGGCATCCAGAACTTTGTGTTACATCATTACCTTATACTTAACTGTGGGTCTGGGTCTACTGACCTGTCTCTTAACACATTGCGGACCAGTAAGTAGTTTTATTGCTAGCCTTACCCAGTGGCCAGATAAGTTTCTATTGAACGAGTACAAAAAAGAACGTTTTACGCCCTAACCGGTTTGGCTCAGTGGATAGAGCATCGGCCTGCAGATTGAAAGGTCCCAGATTCGATTCTGGTCAAGGGCATGTACCTTGGTGGCGGTCACATCCCTAGTTGGGGGTGTGCAGGAGGCAGCTGATCGATGTTTCTCTCTCATTGATGTTTCTAACTCTATCCCTCTCCCTTCCTCTCTGTGAAAAATCAATAAAATATATTAAAAAAAAAACACGTTTTACGTAAATGTTAAAGGCACGCTTTAAAATAAATACCCATTGCATTTTGAAGTTATTTATTACATGTTCTTACAAGCTAATACCTTTGTAAAGTATGATACTTTGTAAAACACTGTGTAATATGAAGCGAGAATTTTCGTGATCCGCCCACAATGTGTTAAATTCCTGACCTGTCTCTGGTCCCTATGCCTCAGGCTTGAAGCTGCCATCTCAGCTTGATGCTGGGTAGCTCAGACTCAGTGTCTATGTTTTCTCCCCTGAAGAGGCTTGAACAGTGAGAACCCACATGTCCCATCTCCATGTGACCATCCACTTCCTGGGACAGGACTCTATTTTTGCAAAGAAAAAGGCTTACATAATACAGTTGCTATAGACTGAATGTCTGTGCCCCCAGAATTCATATGTAGAGGCCTCATCCCCGAGCTGAAGTAGTGGAAGGTGGAGCTTTGGCAGGCGATTAGGTCATGAGGATGGAGCCCTCGTGAACGAGATTAGTGCCCTTTATGAAACAAGACCTCAGCTCCCTAACCTCCAGTGATGACATGGAGAGATGGCACCGAATCTGCTGGTGCCTTGCTCTTGAACTTCCCAGCCTTCAAAACTGTGAGAAATAAATGTCTGTTGTTTAAGCCACCCAGTCTATGGTATTTTTGTTACAGCGGCCCAATTGGACTAAGACAAGGATGAATAACTTTAGTAGGTTGTATTACTATTCAAATGTTTGCCATCCTTCCTCGAGTGCCATTCCTGAGGGCCTGTGGGGCATCATCTATCCCTGCCCTGTTGAACCTGGGAAGGACCAAGAGACTTGCCTACAGTGACTGTAAGAGCCAGGAGGTGGCCCACCTCTCCCTGCCACAGAGACCTGCAGTGTTCAGACAGAGATTGTGTCGTCAGCCTGGGTCCTCGAGTTAAGATGTTGGGCAGAGGAGCAGTCGACCTTGGAGACCTGAGCAGGGATGAGAAATTCCAATTCACTGTTGGAAGCCAGTGGATTTTTTCGGTTGTTTATTACCACAGCATAACTGAGACTAAACTGACTGATACAATTTGTAATCCCACCATTCAAAGATGAATCACTGTTAAGATTCTGGTGTATATATTAGCAAAAATTCTTACATGCAAATGAACATAAATGAGATAATATGCGTCTTTCTTTGGAGCCTTTTTTATTTTTAAAAATTTTATTTTTTAAAGTATTACAAATAATAGTACATATGTCTCCTTTTTCCCCCATGGACCTCCCCCCACTTGCCTCTCCTACCCCCAGCCCCCAGCACATGCCCTCACCACCACCCCCAGAGTCTTGTGTCTATTGGTTATGCTTATATGCATGCATACAAGCCCTTCGGTTGATCTCTTACCTACTCCCCGGCCCCCGGCCTTCCCACTGTAGTTTGACAGTCTGTTCGATGCTTCCTTGCCACTGAATCTATTTTCTTGGGAGCCTTCTTGTTCTAGCTAATACATGGTGGGCATCCATGCATGTCAGTTTTATATCTACATCCTATTTTTTGAGTATAGCTTCATCGTATACCACCGCGTGGTTATGCCAGAATTTACCATTTCTTTTTTGGTGAAGTGAAGGGTTTAATTTTTATTTTTTACAAACTCTGTGATGAACAGCTTATGTAAATATTTGTATGCACTGGCTTGATCATTTCCTTCGGTTTAGGATCAATCCCAAGAAGCTTGGTGTCTGACAGAGGATGCACACATTCTTTGTGTGGATACACGATACCAAGCTACCCTCCAGGAAGCCTTCATAACGCACGCTCTTGCCAGCTCACTGGTGTTCTCATTCCTCTATCATTTTGTCAATAGCAAACACGATCCATTTTTCCAAAGGATTCCAATCTGAAGAACACTCTTTTTTAAAAATATATTTCTTTATTGATTTCAGAGAGGAAGGGAGAGGGAGAGAGATATAGAAACATCAATGATGAGAGAGAGTCATTGATCAGCTGCCTCCTGCACGCCCTCCACTGGGGATCAAGCCCGCAACCCAAGCATGTGCCCTTGACCGGAATCGAACCCGGGACCCTTCAGTCTGCAGACCAATGCTTTATCCACTGAGCCAAACCAGCTAGGGCTGATGAGCACTCTTAACCCTAGCTTTATCATCAGCTAACATACTGCCTTCCAGTTCGGCAATTATTTTGTCCATCTAATCATTCAAGTCAGAGAGTAAAGAGGATGCAAACTCTGGAGCCACCCAGGTAGAAGACCGAACTGGAAGTGTTTGCCAGTGTGTTGCCTCTGAATTTCTCTTATCCACACCCACCCAGATCTTCTCTCTTCCTCTCCCTGCTCCCCCTTCTTTTCCCTGCTGGGATTTTTGTAAAAAATATTTTTTATTGATTTCAGGAAAGGAGAAGGAGAGAGAATCATTGATTAGCTGCCTCCTTGCACACCACACACTGGGGATCGAGCCTGCAACCGGGGCATGTGCCCTTGACCAGGAATTGAACCTCCTGGTTCATAGGTCATTGCTCAACACTGAGCCACGCCGGCTGGGCCCTGCCCGAATTTTTAAAGCCAATTTTTAAAATTATACAAACAACGTTATAGAAACATTAGAATTCTAAATGAGAAAAAAATACCACCCACAACCAATGGCCCCAACCAGTTACACTGTTTTTATTTGCCTGTGTTCCCCTCCAGTCCTCGTCCGAATGCATGCAGGCTCTGTGCCCAGGACGCTCCTGGCGCAGATCTAATTTTGCATTCTGCCCTTTCTGCTTCCCGTCCTGCCATAAGCATTTTTCTGTGTTGTTACACGGTCATCAGCTTTTCAGTTAAATTGTTGCACAGTGTTCCAGTGAGTGAATAATTTAATAATTATTACCCTAATGTAAGTCACTTAAGTGGTTCCCCGTTTTCCTATTATAAATAATGCTGCACTGCATGCTTTGATGGAGAGAGCGTCTTTCTTCATTTGAGTTATTTCTTCAGGCCTGTTCCCAAGAGTGAGATAGCTAGGCCAAAGGGCACGAATGCTTTAATAATTCTTGATGTGAACTGTAACATTGCTTAACAAAGGGTTTTTATTTTCCTGCTCCAAAATAATAATGCGTTTTTTCTCCTTTTCAACCATATAGAAGAAAGAAAAATTTTATTGCCCAGACATTACCATTCCTACATTTGGATAACCCTCCCTCCAGAAACCTCTTGGTGCATAGATATACATGTAAATGTAGAAATAAAAATAATTTTCCACAAAAGATACTGTACTCATGTGCCAGTTTTACAACCTGGTGTTTTGAGTTTTTTTCAGCAACATGTCCTGGGATTTTCTAATTGGTTCTGCTGCCGGCAGTGCCTACGTGGTAGCATAATGTAGTACATACGGTAATAGCTGTAAGCCAGGCACGTGCCAAGAAGGTTATCTGCATGAGCTCATTTAAGCTCCGTCTGCAGCAGCCCGGTGAGATAAGTTCTATTATTATCATTTTTGTAGGTGAGGAAACAGGCTCAGAGAAATTAAGGGACTGCTCAAGGTCACATAGCTGGGAAGTGGCGGGGCTGGCTCTCAACTTGAGTTCTCTGGGGCTCCAAAACAGATGCTCATACAAGTCATACACATATGTAAAAAAATAAAGATAATAAATGCAAGCAATACCGCAGCATAGAAAGTGTGAACGTCCCCTTTACATTTCCACTAAGGTTTGATGTGTGTATCAGTTAAGTTTAGGTTTAACTGCATATGACCCAGGCAGAGTAGCATAAACTTGAGCAAGTCAATATAGTGATTTTCCTTCCACATAAAAGTGTAAACGAAGCGTTTCAGGACTAGCGTGGTGGACCCATGCTCACTGGTCACCAAGAACCCAGGCTTCTGTCTTTCTGCTCTGCATCCTCAGTTCATAGCTTCCATCCCTTAGGGCTCCATCTGGGCTCATGTGGTCCCTGGAGCTCCAACCGTCACATCCGCATTCCAGGCCACCGGAAGGAGAAGGGCTGGAGGGGCCACAGTGCGTTATCCCAGGCCAATCAGCCCCATCCGAAGAGCTTCCTGGGGAGTCCCCCTGCCCCATGACATCAGCTCACTTCTGATTGGCCACCCTTGTACGCAAGGGAGGCTGGGAAATGTAGTTTTAAACTGGGCATGTTGCTTCTTTCCCCCAGCTCAATCCCCCAGAGTAGAGGGGGTGGTTAATGAAAAGGGGGAAGAATAGATATTAAGAGGTAATCAGACAGCCCTGCCACTGTGTATCCTTCCCAGTCCTTTCCTATCAATGTACACATATGTACATATAGAAAAATATAGTTCAGTGAAAGTCTAATGTATAAATGGTACCTTGTTTCAATTTACATGTTAAAGTTTACCAACCAGATTAAACATTC